AGGATTACAAGCAGATGATAATTCTTCAATAAATACTAATTCTAAATTCTTTAATTTACACTAAAAATAATTCCTTCATGAGAAAAGGGCCATATTATGTTTCCCTAAAATACAGTAACTTCATGTTAAAAATCAGTCACTAAGCAAATTAAGAGTCAATGTATGTTGAGATAAGGATGCAGTAATATTACAAGGTTTACTTTTTGGTTAGAATAATTTAATTATTTTAAACCAGCTCTTACAATTTGACTTAGAACTTTTTTTCAAAACTTACTTTCAGAACTATGGAAAAAATGTACTTAGTAGAAGTATACTTATACTTTTAGCTATATTTTAGGTTACTGTCAGATTTCATTTAACCCTCCTCTCCTACTCAAAGCCCCTCCTACCCAGTCAAGATGTAGCTTTCTCATGTATGTAGATTTCTTTGTATAGTTATCTCATAAAATATTCAAGCTTTATTGGCTCTTTTAAGGTTATTTTACTATATAATTTATTGCAAAGCGAGCCTAATTGTGCTCATTCCAGTTGGCTCAAATCCAATTCTTACCACTGTCATTGCTACTAAAATAGTAGTCTTCAGTTTATGATTTGGAGGTAATATATAATAATCTAGCATTCCTTTAATAATATATGATCATTTCAGCATAAAAGTTTAAAATTTTCTTTTCTTACAAAAACCCAGTAAAGTTGGTGGTCCAAGTATTATTATTACCATTTAATAAACGAGGAAAGTGAAGCTCAAAATAGTTAAGGTCCTTGACCAAGATCAGGTAGCTATTAAGCATCAGAGCCCAAATGTGAGACTCAAATCTTTTGTCTCCAGAACTAATGTTTTTTCTCACGTACTGATTAGATGCTTGAAGTGTTGGCAATGAACACATCATTAAAAAAAAAAAAAAAGGAATTGGTATGACACATGACCTCTAAGATTTCCTTGTAGCACCAAATCTATGAGACTGTAAAAACGTCTTGGATTCTGAGACCAAACTATTCCTTGCTTTAACATGGCTAGTACTCATTCCTTCCCCGTTTGTTTGATAGCAGATGTTTGGGGAATGCTACTTATCTAGAGAATAAACTTTAGAAAGAAGCAATTCTGTGTTTCTTTACATCCATAACACTTTCTTCACTTTTTTACATTTTTCAGCTCCTTTCTTAGAGACTCAGTTCTTATGATGATGCTCCAGACTTTTCTCTCACTTTGTCTAATATGTATGAGTCATTCAGCTTCAAGGCATTCTTCTAACCATTTCTCATTCTATGGTGTAAACTAGGGGTGCGGAATCTGCAGCCTTCTAGGTCTTTGGGTGCAGCCTTGTGACTGAGTCCAAGTTTTACAGAACAAAGCCTTTCATTAAGGGGATTTGTTCTGTGAAGTTTGGATTCAGCTGCACTTGAGGACCCTAGAGGGCCACATGAGACCTGGTAGCCCCAGGTTCCCCACCTCTGGTCTAAACTTTCCTTTCTGTAAATCTGTTGTTCTCTTCCTTGTTTCCCCTTTGTGCATTTTTCACCTGCTATAGCTTCTTGTGTAGAATATGTATTTAGGACCCTATCAATAATTATTTAGGGCACACCTTCCACTCAAAAAGAAGAAAAAGGAATGCAATAAAAATAACCTTGCAGCACCTTTTACTTTTTATTTGAAGGACTAAGGATCTGCTATAAGTTTCATTAAACCGCTTTTTATATCATTATATAGGATGTATAAATGTATATAGTTTGCTCAAAGTTAAAGTTAGTAGGCTTTGCTGACCATATTTCACAGTGTAAGAGATTAGTATGGGCTGCCAAGACATAATACTATATCCACTGTGCTAACAGAGGGCTAATATAATAAGACCTTTGTCCCTGTTTTCTGTAGAAATGTTATTCTTGAACGTTCTGGCCATATTTCAACCCTGTTTGAAAAAAGAACCAGCATGTGTCTTTTTTTTTATGTTTGTGGTTAGGGATCCATGAATAATCTGCCCAAGATACCAAATGAGACACTTTTTTTAGTTCAAAGGTTATATTCATCCCTCCTCATGTATATAATTGTTTTCTATCTTTGGTCCTGAGTCCATACAAAAGCAACCCAGTTCTCTAAGATTTCAAAAATGCTTGTAAAAGGGACACACCTACTCTCTTGTTGAAAAATTATAAAAGGAAGAGAAACTGTCTATCAGTAAGATTCTTGATGCTATTTCCAAAGGATAGATTCTTAGTAAGGAGGGGAATGGTTTTCTTAAGGAGTATAATATTCTCTGTCGTATTTAATAGGCAGACATAGATAGACTCAAGCTTAATATTTGCCAGCCCATCTGTACCTTACATTGTTGTGATCTCTTAAGGCAATTTCCTGTTCCCCTCCCCTCATGTATGACCCAGTGTTGATATGATGAAAAATCAAGCCATGCTCATTTGTTTGCAAACAAATGTAAAACATGTGACTTCTAGGTGTTAGGGACATAAACATGGGGAAGCAAAAGAAAAATTCTGGTGAAAACTACTGTTTTGTTCTATATTAAGTTTTTTGGTCACATCTATTGCCGAGGAAACATGAAAAGGCACAATCAGAGCTATAAAGTCAAAGTATATTCAGTTGAGTGATGTAGTTTACAAAGGATCTAGAATACATTATTTAGAAATCTGAAGATGTTGGTAAGCACATTTAAGCAGACTGGAGATTCTTCTAGATATGTTTAAATTCATAACCTAAAAATAAGGGATTTTAAAAAGTCATTCTGAAAATGCATTAATATATTTATTAACTGCCTATTACATGTCAGGAACTGTGCTAGGCGTTGGGAATACAAAGATTAAAAAAAACATTCTTGACCTCATGGAGCTTACATTTTATAGGGGGAGTAAACATATATACAGATAAGTATATTCAAAATGTTTATGAAACAAATGCAGGGTAAATTTGAGATTGACAGACAGAGAACAGGTACTGGGGAGACCTAGAAAGACCTTTAAGTTGCAAAAATAGAGTACTATTTTGATTAGAAAATACTAGACAATGCTATTTATTTATAAAGAAAAAAATCTCGTGTGATGTGATATTTGTGATTTTTGTTTTTAAGTGCTTTTGAAAAGATTATAAAACAATTGGTTTTCTACATTTCAAGAATAAATCTTAAAACCTTATTTAGAAAATTTCTTCAATATCTTCTTTTAGATAGTTCATTTTGATTTCATCTTGAATGTGTAAGGTTGCGGAAGTAATCATGCTAACTTAGAAGAAAAAAAATAACAATAAACCACCAACACATTTCCATTTTTAGTTGATCTGTTACCATTGTCAGCCTCAATTTTTTCTTCTTCTATTTTTAATTTTGGGAAGTTGAATTCTGTGTTATATTATACTTGTAACTATTGTGTTTTGAACTGCTGTGTTTTTACAGAAACAAAGAATCCCATGTTTTACCGAAATATATTCTATCACTGTAAGAGTATCCCAGTTTTAGAGAATAGTACTTCTTATTCAAAACAAATTGTAAAATGAACCAATTTCATTTCATTTTGAACATCGTTGCTTTGCTATCATAATGAAGGCTGAGGTTGTTATTCTTAATTCAGTGGAAGATGTCAGAAGCCAAGTATATATGATCCTGACCAAAATGGATGGTGTTCAAACCTTTGAGCTTGTCTAATCCATTAGAACAAATTATGTGGCCCCACTATGTGTGAGTGTCCTGGAAATGACCAATTTATGAATCATTTACTTAGCCTTGGGCAAATTGGGCAGGCTAAATTTTAGATCCACATCCAATTTACATGTGCTGGATGACCTTAGACTTTAGGAGATACATTAAGGGACTAACATTTAATCAATGAATCTGAGCTTTGTTGCCATTTTACAAAGAAAATGAATTCATTTACTCTTGAAAAGCTACAGCAATTAAAATAAACTGGGAAATCAAGATAGTTTTCTTTTTTCTTAATGGCTAAACTAATAAGCGACATTGTTATGAATTACCAAACACTTAAAGGATAACTTTCCTCCTCCTTCCCTTCACAATTGGAGGCAATAGTCTTATTTCTCACAAAAATTACTAATACAAGGGCCTCCCTTATCTCTTCATGTCCAGAATCCCTGATTCTATTTGTATAGTTTCTCTCTTAACCAATGCAGATCACAGCCATTTGACATAATCCATGATCTTTGTGGGGTTTCTGTGGCCAAAACATTCATCGCTTGGTAAAGAGCCCCTGCGAATGAAACCAATTTGGTCCTCAAGTGAAAGACTTGAAGAGTATCTCATTGGGTTTGGACTAGAAATGTTTTCAGTTTGATAGAACCTGCCAGCACTTAAGCTCCACTGTTATAACCCATGAGAGAACCCGTGGTCACAGGTATACCACAGTGAGGCATCAGAGTAAGACTTAATTGGAGGCTCTTTTCCTTTTTTGCGTGTAAACAATCGTGTTTTCACAGTTGTATTCTTTTTTTTTTAAATGTTGTAACAATATTTTATGATCTCCGTTTATGAGTTTAGTCCCACCATGTTGTTTTGTATATAAGCTATAATCTAGAATTAAGTTAGGCACCTTTCAGGGTATTTAGTAATTTATATTTCCCTGGCATTCAGTAGTACTCATGGGGCTTGAAAGAGTTATTGCACTTCCCTAATTGCTTTATTTATTTCCAGGTAGTAACTTATATCCTGGCAGTATCTTGCAGAGTGTAAAATAGAAACATCTTAGCGTTTTCTCTCTGCTCTATCTTCAATTTTTATTTTTTGGTCCATATGGTGATATGTGAGTTGAGAGAACCAAGAAAATCTTGTTTAAAATCAAGTAAGTATTTCTATGTGAAGTTTGATTGAAATATATCATCCTCTTGTTATTTTTGAGATTGCACATTATCCTGAGCTTTTCTGATAGGCTGTGTGAAATGTTAGATTTCTCATAGAAATATGAAGAAAAGTAAACATTCACATATTCTAATCGTATACCTATGAAAAGGTACAGGCAAAAAAGAGAAATTAATATTCTGTTTTCCTCCACAGTCTCCAAACGTCCACAACTACCCGGATATGGAAGCTGTTCCCCTCTTGTTAAATAACATGAAAACGGAACCCCCGGAGGACTCGTTATCCACAGATCACTTCCAAACACAAACTGAGCCAGTGGACTTGTCCATAAACAAAGCCAGGACATCCCCTACAGCAGTTTCATCCTCCCCAGTTTCCATGACAGCCTCTGCCTCCTCTCCTTCCTCTACGTCAACTTCATCATCGTCTTCTAGTCGTCCAGCCTCATCCCCAACTGTTATCACGTCAGTATCTTCAGCATCATCTGCGCCAACAGTATTAACTCCAGGGCCTCTTGTGGCCTCTGCATCTGGTGTGGGAGGCCAGCAGTTTTTGCACATTATCCATCCAGTACCACCTTCAAGCCCCATGAATTTACAGTCTAACAAACTGAGTCATGTTCACCGCATCCCAGTGGTGGTACAGTCGGTGCCTGTTGTCTATACGGCAGTGCGGTCACCTGGGAATATGAACAACACTATAGTAGTGCCGTTGCTGGAGGATGGGAGAAGCCATGTCAAAGGTAAGACAAAGAAAGAGGTCAAGTTTTATTTTAGGTCCAAGGGTAGCTTTAAAAATAATTGCAGTAAAGTCCACCTGGGGCCTACAGCCCTTTGCTTTGGTGAAGGTTCCATTCCAAAATAATTCTGTCTTAATTTAAATAAGAAAAGCATGCATCTGAGCCAGTAAACATTCTACTTGGGGCTGTGATGAGTGGTAAAACACATACACACAGATCTGTATATCTGTTATTTAATATATATACACACACACATACATACATACATACATACATACATAACATTCCAATTTTGACTGAAAGTAATGAGTGTATATTTTTACTGTAGAATCCAGACATTTTAAATTTTAGCACATAAGACATTAATTAATATCTGCTGTGATACTTACCTTTGTAAGCAGTGGATGGAGAAGGTACGGTTGGTTCATTTATTGGTGAAGCATGCAGATATAAATACCTTCTTGTTGAAATTAGTCATCATGAAGATTTTCCCTTATAAATCAGTGTTTCTTCTAGTTGTTCATCCTGAAACATTTTTTTTTTAGATGACAGGTAAAGTGCCGTGGGACTGCAGTGTGTGGGCTTTGGTAGTTATTGCAGTTGTGCAACTTGGAGTCACTTGTAGGTTGTTAACATGTCAGTGAAATAACACATCCAACAGTTGAATGTTTGGCTATAAAAATAACACATAGTTTTGGCTCGCTCCTTCCACCTCCACTTTCCTCTAAATGAGGTGATGCCTCAGTTGGGTGGGAGCATTTTAAGATGCAGTCAGAATCCTTTAGGGATAAGGGGTAAGGAAGACAGTTGACGACTACATATGTAATACCCTGATGAGCCCCAGTTGCTTAATGAAGACCTTGGTAATTATTCAGCAGTTTTTGAAGATGTTCCTTTGGCTTTTTATCCTTTCTTAGTCTTGAGGTAATTTTCTATTTTTTATTTCATTTTATTATTTTTTTTGCCAGGTTGCTATACAGTAATGGCTTCATGATTTCCCTTCTTCTCCTCCTTTTTGTACTGGAATCTGTGTGTGAAATCATATAAGCCAGCTTTCAGCAGAAATAGACCATGGCCATTTTCATAGGCTCATTTTTGTCAGAGTATATGTAAGCACATGGTGACTTAAGATCTTTTAGTATACCTTTTAAGGGCAGCTAGATAGCACAGTGGATAGAGTTCTGGGCCTGGAGTCAGGAAGACTTGAGTATAAATCTGGCCTCAGACACTTATTAGCTGCGTGACCCTGGGCAAGTCACATAACCCTGTTTACTTTAGTTTCCTCATCTGTCAAATGAACTGGGGAATGAAATGGCAAACTATTCCAGTATCTTTGCCAAGAAAACCCCAAATGGGGTCACGAAGAGTTGGACTGAAAACAACTGAACCACAACTACCGAGCTGCCAAGGTATTGCCAGTTCCTTCCTAGCTTGTGAAAACAATTCATCAATCCCTCAATAAGCACTTATTTGTTCCCTAAGAGCCGGGTGCTATTCTAGGAGTTGGGAATGCAATGGCAAAACCAAAATTTTCTTTCCCCCAAAGAGCTTCCATTCTATCAAGGGAAATAATATGTACACATTGAAATAAATTCTCATACCAGTTTCATCAGAAAGATCTTTGGATTGATCACACTAAGAGGACTTTGCCTACAAAGGCAAGATGCAGCCACTTTGACTCACTCGTATGAGTTTGTCATATTAGAACTCACATCTTACGCTGCTATTGTCGGTGACCAGTAACCACCACTGTTGTATCTGCAGTGTAGAAGTAGAGAGAAAGAAAAGAAATTGTTATTTTTTAATGGATTTCATTACAGCCAAACTGTTTGTCTAGCTTGTATTCCTGATTAGAATGAGTAGGTCAGTTTTATTATTGATAATAGTAATACATGAAGACAAGATGATTTATTCTTTTAAAGAGTAATTCACAGATAGATTTGTTATTTCTGTTTTTTTTTTTTAGAAAAGTTTCATTGCTTAAACCCTAAAGCCAATAGTTTAAGTATCATCCTTTTATTCCTCTATAGTTGATTCCCTTTCTCATTTCCCAAAGAAACAATCCAAACCTTCTTTTCTCTTCTCAAGCCTCCCACACCTCCATCCCCACTCTCTATTAGCTGGGGACCTGCCTTTTAATTTGCTGAGAAAATTAAATTCTTTTTTTTCCACCTCAAGCCTCTTGACATCATCTCTTTCTTTACCTGGGTCTCTGAAAAAGAGATGACTCTTCTTAAACCCTATTGACGTGTGTCTTTGACTTCCATCCCCTCCTATCTTCTCCCACTGATTCCCGCCTCAGTCATCCCCCTTCTCTCTAATATTAATTACTGGTTCTTTTCCTGCTGCCTTCCAATAAGCTCAAGTCTCTCCCATCTTCAAGAAAAAAAAAGTCTTCATTAGATGCTATATTCCCCTCAAACTAGCATCTTATGTATTTCCTCCCTCTCTCAGCCAGACTTCTTGAAAAAAAATGCATACACTTGCTACCTCTACTTCTTCTCTTCTCACTCATTCCTCAACCCTTTGCAACTCGACCTTCAAATCCATCACTAAAATGAAACCACCCTTTCCAAAATTAACATCTTTAATTAAATAACATATTAGTCTTCTCATCATCATCATCCTTCTTCTTGGCCTGTATGCTGCATTAGACACTGCTGACCTATCCTGCTGAATTCTTGATCCTTTCTGGCTCTCCTTATTTCTTCTCCTCCCACCTCTCTAATTGCTCTGCTCTGTCTCAGTCTCCTTTATTTCATTTTCATCCATATCATACTCCCGAACTGTGGTTATTCCCCAAGTGTCTATCCTTGGCCCTCTTCTCTATTTACACACACTTTCTTGGTGGCCTCATTAACTCCCAAGGGTGTAGTTATTATTATTTTTTGTTTTGGTTTGGTTTGGGTTTTGTGTTTTGTTTTGGTTTGTTTTTTTTTTTGGCTAGGCAGTAGGGTTAAGTTACTTGCCCAGGGTCACATAGCTAGTAAATGTCAAGTGTCTGAGGCCCAGATATGAAGTCAGGTCCTCCTGACTCCAGGGCCAGTGCTCTATCCACCGATCCACCTTTATATATACAACTCAGTCTCTCCACTGAACTTAAGTCTCATATCACCAATGAGTAATGGATATTTCAAACTAGATATTCTAGGAATATCACCAACATGGTATGTCTAAAATAGAAGTTGTTATCTATTTACCCAATCTCATCAGTTTCCCAAACTTCCCTAATTCTGTTGATGACACACCACACCTTGCGTCAGTAAACATTTATTAAGTGCCTACTATGTGCCAGGCATTTTGCTAAGTATTGGTGATACAGAACTCACAATTGAGTGGAGGACACAAGAAGCAAACAAATATGTACAAATAAGCTAATGAAAAGAGGGAAGGCACTAGAATTAAAGAGGCTTTAGAAAAGCTTCCTGTAGAAGATGGGATTTTAGTTAGGTCTTAAAGGAAGCCAGTAAGCAGAGATGAGAAAGAAGACCTTTCCAGGCATGGAAGACAACCAGAGAAAATGCCAAGAGCCTAAAGATGGAGTTCCTGTTTACGGAACATGTCAGCCAGTGTCACAGGGTCAAAGAGTACATACTAGAAAGATATGAAACCACTCAGTTCTGAAGGGCTTTGAATGCCAGAAGATTTTGTTTTTGATCCTGAAGGGTTATTGGGAGCCACAGACATTTATCGAATGGGGCAGTGACATGGTTGGACCTGTGCTTTAGGGAAAATTGCTTTGGTGGCTAACTGCAAAATGGATTGGAATTGGGAGGGGCTTGCAGACTGTTGTAGTGATTGTAGTCCAGGTGTGAAAATGAGGAGGGCCTGTACCAGAGAGGTGGCAGTTTCAGAGAAGGAAATGTAGTTGATAAATGCTGCAAAGGCAAAATTGACAACCCTTGACAATAGTTTGGACGTGGTAGGGTGAGAGATAGTGAGGAGTCCAGGATAACACCTCTGTTGCTAGCCTGAGAGCCTGGGAAAATGGTGTTGCTCTCTGCAGTGGTGGGGAAGGTAGGAATCGGGGATGGGAAGGGGAAAGATAATGTCCCCAAAGTTCAAAATTCCTCACTGTCCCTCAACACACACATCCATGCAGTTGCCAAATCTTACTCCTTCCACCTCCACAATATCTCTTGCACCTGAATCCTTCTTTTTACTGACAAAGTCAATGCCCTCAGGCCCTGAACACCTCTTGTCTACCGTGGATCTTCTAAATGTTTTTGCTGCTCAAATCTCTCTCTATTACTGTCATCCTCCACACAGTTGCTAAAGTGATTTTCTCTTCCTGTCACTCCTCTACTCAGTAAGTCCTAGTGGCTTCCTGTTGCTTCTAGGATAAAATATAAACTCCTCTGTTTAGCTTTTAAATACTTTTACAACTTAGATCCAACCTGTCTTTCCAAACTCACTGTACGTTATTCCTCTTCCTACATATTGCAATCCAGCCAAAGTGTCTTCTCTCTGTTCCTCACCCAAGACATTCCATTGCTTGTACCTCTGTCTTTGCACTGGCCATCCCCCATAGCTGCAATGCACGTAAACTCTACCTATAGAAGCTCTCTTTTTCGAGCTGTAACTCAAACACCAGCTTCTTCTACGTAAAGCCTTCCCTGATTCCCCCCAACTGCTAGTGCCATCCCTTGCAAGTTAACTCGTAAGCAATGCTGTATTTATTCTGTATGTAACTAATTATATATGTACTTGTCTACCTCATTAAAATGTAAGCTCATTGGTAGTAGAGATTGTTTCATTGTTTGAATTTGTATAGCCTATGTGGTTCATGGCATAGTGCATATTAATCAGTGTTTATTGATTGCCATTAGAGCATTTTATAAATAACTTAACCATGTGAATACAATAAACTGCCATTTTTATGTATTGCTATTTAATGGAAATGCCACTTTTATAATATGATACTGACTGGTAAAGAAGATTCTTATAGTGCCTTTTATGTAATTTTATTGAGTTTTCAAAAAAATTCACTTTTAAGGGGAAAA